CTGCTGTACTTACTTGACATTTGGATTACTATTTATTTTGAAGATTTCTCAATCGGATGAACTTCAATATCTTTGAAGTCTGTAAAAACCAGTTCCATCATTTCATGGCCCAGAAAGATATCAAAATCTGGGCAGAATGAAACAGCTTCAAAAAAAGATGGCCAAAAGGTGATGGAGCAAAATGGCACATATGTGATTGAATAAATCTGTGTACAAATATCTAAATATCGTATTTTAATTTTACTTAAGAAAAACAAATTGTTGTTCCGACCTTTATATATATATATATATATATATATATATATATATATATATATATATATATATATATATGATAAATTATATTTTTACGGTACGCTATGTTATGGGTTATAGAACATATGTAAATATAAAAGTGGACATTGAAATCAACACCCAGATGCAACAGTTTGTTTCATGGCAAATTCAATCGCCAGGCTATATATATATATATATATATATATATATATATATATATATATATATATATATATAAGTTATGAAGAACTTTTTAATCCGTATGGGTAATCCCAAGGATGAAATGTAAAACCAGAGCTAATATTTTAAAAATTTCAGATCCTAAATTAAAAAGGAAACGACGTTGATCATCAGATAGCACTTCCAAAATGAAGTGAAACGAAAATGAAATGAATTTTTCGTTTAATTTCACAGAAGTGCTTTTGATGATCCGGCGTCCGTTTTAAAAGCGCTTTGGTGAAATAAATTATTATAATGGTACCTTAAAGTGGTCTTTTTTCATTTAAAATATATATATATATATATATATATATATATATATCGTATTCGAATTTTAAGAAAACTACAAATTGTTGTACCGATCTATATATATATATATATATATATATATATATATATATATGATAAAGCGTTAGAAAATCAATTGAACGAAATCGCCTGAAGATACCGAAAGGTTGAAACCAAAGTAGTGGAATAATTGATCTCCTATTTTTTTATACTTAACATCTCTATATGTTAAATTTTGATCTTTTATACATGGATTGAGTATGTTTATTGAGCACTTTTTAATACTACTGTTTCCTGGTCTAATTCAACTCTGACCATTAATTTTTATTATTATTATTATTATTATTATTATTATTATTAATATATGTATATATATATATATATATATGTATGTATGTATATATGAATGAATGTATGTTCATTGTGTGTGTAGTAGAGGCGCTTATTAATATCTATGTTTAATAAATATATAAATATAATAAATAGGAAATATATATCTATATACAATGTGTGCATGCATGTGTTGTGTGTGTATGTGGGTGTTCCTAGACCTTAACTCTAATCCCGGACTTTAACCCTAATTCCAGTTCTTAACCCTTACTTTTAATCCTAATCCATAATACAATATTTATAGCGTTTGTAGAAAGATCAGATGAGAAATGACAGTAAACAATACAACGCTATACTTAAAGCAGCTTTTTTCTTTCGAATACAATTGAAAGAGACTAATTTGATCTTTCCATTGATATAAAAGTTAATTATATATTGACATTAATTAACAATTTTTATTGATTTGTACTTAATAAGATTCTCTTTTTTTTAGAGAAAGGTGGGAAAAAGTTGAACGTTTTCAAATAATTATTTTTTAATGAGGATAAATGAAAATAAATTTGTTCTAATTCAAGTTAATAGCATTTACATTGACGAAATAGTTTTGCAGATTACAAAATTATTTCCTACACGCAATTGGTATCCACTGACTTACCACTACATTAACTTACTTACTATATTAAAACTACATTTGACTTACTTTTTGATTATAAATATATATAAATGTCGCTTACACTTAACCTATGGGTAGTATTCCTTCATTTCAAGATAGATAAGAAACAGTTTTAATATATATTTAATATTTATTTAATATAATAATATTATATAATAATGATAATATATAAAAATTATATTAATAATATTAATAGTAATACTAATATTATTAATAGTAATATTATTGGTAATAATAATATTAATATTTTTAATATCAATAATAATAATAATTATAAGAAGAAAAAAGAAAAATAACAAAAGAATAACGGACAATAAGACAAAAAAAAAGAGTGAGAGGAAAGAAAAAATTAAAATGAAACAATTAAAGTTAAATAAAGTAAAAGAGAATTAAAATGATATCAAAGATTACAATATTAAAATAATTATAATTATCCTTATAATAATAAAGGACAATCAAAGCTAACCGCTCAGGCATTGGTATTAGAAACCACAAAAAAAAAAGAAGAAAAATTGCCTCCTTATTGACATGACAGACGCTGCAGATTGCAATGTATCTTTGAAGATCTTCAAAAAGCTATCAAAATACAAGGACCTTGAAATCGAAATCCCAAAAACGTGGCACATGGGAACATCAACAATTCCTGTTATGGTTGGAGCCCTCAGATTGGTTTGAAAAGATTCCAGTAGACAGATTGAATGGATTCCTGGAATCCCATGCCTTAAAGAAATACAAAAAATTGTTCTTACAAGTACAGCCCACACCTTACGAAGGGCTTTATCTATGTAAAATATCTGTGTGTTTGTGTGTGTGTGTGTGTGTGTTTACTTGGTCAGTGGAAAAATGTCATGATGCCATTTCTAACCTTAGGTCTCTGGGCGGGACCCGGAAAGAAATGTATACACACCAGAAATCAAAAGAAATATTAATAATAATAATAATCTTGGAATGATAAAAAAAAGGAACGCAGCAACACATTGAAAAAAATCCCTAGAAACCCCAGCTTAAGAGAAATACAAAATATTATCTTGATAATTACGATCCACACACTAAGAAGAATTTTGTCCATGTAACACTAGTGACCTTATGGGAGTTAGAAAAACAAATCATAAAATGTAGCCATAACAACACAGCACCACCGGCCTTAGGTCTTACCAAAGACTTGCTACGTAGTGTGACCATAGCAGAATTTGAAATAATAATAATAATAATAACTAGCAGTAGAGCCCGGTGTTGCCCGGGGATGTAACAGTAAGAGATAGATCCAGTATCGACCATCATAAAGACTAAAAAGTAAAATTGACAAAGATTATTGTTTAAGGTTGACGGACACGCATGTCTTAAGTAGTTTTTCTTTATTTTACGAATTGGTCAAACCCAAAGTCAAACAAGTTTTATTGAAATCGGTTGAAATGTAGGAAATCCGATCCCATATATAAACGAACACACACAGACACACACACACACACAAAAAAACAACCTGGGTTTTATAATAAGTATAACTCGATATGAGTTGTCCCTCTTTCATTCTGGCGACAGTGATGCCTCTTAATCGTGTTTTCAAATTGATTTCGTGCAAAAACAATTGTGTTTTTCCAATTTTTGGCGCTGCCAGAACCACCGCAAGGTAATTTTACGTAGTCCTGTGAAGTTTTGTTGAAATCGGTTGAAAAATGTAGGAAATCCGATCCAATATATAAACGAACACACACACACACACAGACACACACACACACACACACACACACACACACACACACACACACACACACACACACACACACACAACCTGGGTTTTATAATAAGTATGATATAATATTTAAGAATCACAGACCATAGAATGTTTATCTGTAGGTAACTGACCCACGACTGTCCTGTTATATATTCTTTTTCAGATTTTTCAAATATGGTGCGAACCTATAAAAAGAAAACCTGGCATGTTCCACATAAACAAAAGAAAGAATTAAAGACATACAACCTTGAATATCAAAAATGTATTTAGGCTTATCACTAAAAGAAACAAAATTAACGCCCTTCACTATGCCAAAGTAAAAACTTGATTTATTTAATTTTGATATTTTGTAAAATTATTCATTTTTAAAGTTGATTCCAACTTGACTAAAAAAAAAAATCGATTTTTCATTTCAGAGAATCATTAATTTATCAAAGTCCCTTAGAATGTTTTTTCTCACACTTTTTCCTTTTCTGTTCTCGACAACAACCGCTAAAACCACTCGATAAATTTTATCCCTGCCAAAAATATTTACCCAATTTAAAGTGCAGTTTTTGTTGCTTTGGCTATTATCAGGGCTATAATTAAGCCCTTAAATAAAAAAAATCCTCTCTCTTTCCTTTTTTCATGTTGATCTTTGCCCTCTCCCTTTGTCACGTCTCTCTTTACCTTTGACATGCACAACATTCCGTCACTTGCTCATGACGAATCTACCGGAAAACGCGACCTTAACAAGATAGCAACATAGATTATGCTTATAAAAAAACGATGGGAATAAAATTATTATTGTTGTTTCCTATGGCGGTTTTAACAATTTGACATAAATGAACTTCCAGTAAAGGTGCTAAAATTTAAAATTGCAATTTATTAACGTTTTTAAAACAAAGGTTTTGCATATATTTGAAGGTACGTGTGACTTGGTTGACTACAGATGTAGATTTATTTACACTATTTATATTGTGCAGACTTGTCCTCATTCTTATTGTCCTATTCACGACGTTTCGGCCGTTGTACGCTCGGATTGTCGTCAGGTGATATACATTGGAATTTCGAACCGGACATTTTATTTCGTCCACCGGGGTAGATTGTTCTAGTTCCACGTGCCATGCCTTTTCGGGATATCTAACTTTTTGTCATTTCCCTCAAGTAAATCAAGTTTTTTGTTTACCGTTGCTATGGCCAGGCATTGAACTCACAACTCAAAAACGTCAGGCGAAGGATCATTTGCAGGCATATTTAAAATTGCACTTGCTATTCTTTAATATTAACTTTTTACTACTTTAATGTTTGCCTTTCACAAGATCTATAAATATATAAAATAATGAAAATATATTTGCTTGTGCTATTATGATAATGTTAAATGTGTATTTGTAAATGCACGTGTGTGTGTGTGTGTGTGTGCGTTTGTCTAACAATCATAATACATCTATTCATATATATGAATGTATATTTCTCTGTGCATATATTATTCCTCTATCTTAGTTTGTTCCTATCTATCTATCTATCTATCTATCTATCTATCTATCTATCACAGTTTCTTGATTCTCTCTCTCTCTCTCTCTCTCCCTCTCTATCTATCTATCTATCTATCTATCTATTTCAACCTGTTCACATCTATCTATCTATCTATCTATCTATCTATCTATCTATGTTCATATCTGTCTATCTAGTTTTATATCTATCTATATATTCTAGTCAGTTCGTATCGATCCCAGTCTATTCATATCTATCTATCTATCTATCTATCTATCTATCTATCTATCTATCTATCTATCTATCTATCTATCACAGTTTCTTGATTTCTCTCTCTCTCTATCTATCTATCTATCTATCTATCTATCTATCTATTATCTATCTATCTATCTATTTCTATGTTCTATCTATCTATCTATCTATCTATCTATCTATCTATCTATCTATCTCTGTTCATATCTGTCTATCTAGTTTTATATCTATCTATATATTCTAGTTCAGTTGTATCGATCCCAGTCTATTCATATATCTATCTATCTATCATATCTATCTATCTATCTATCTATCTATCTATCTATCTATCTATCACAGTCACTTGATTATCTCTCTCTCTCTCTCTCTATCTATCTATCTATCTATCTATTTCAACCTGTTCACATCTATCTATCTATCTATCTATCTATCTATCTATCTATCTATCTATCTATCTATGTTCATATCTGTCTATCTAGTTTTATATCTATCGATATATTCTAGTCAGTTCGTATCGATCCCAGTCTATTCATATCTATCTATCTATCTATCTATCTATCTATCTATCTATCGCAGTCACTTGATTATCTCTCTCTCTCTCTCTCTCTCTCTCTCTCTATCTATCTATCTATTTCAACCTGTTCACATCTATCTATCTATCTATCTATGTTCATATCTGTCTATCTAGTTTTATATCTATCGATATATTCTAGTCAGTTCGTATCGATCCCAGTCTATTCATATCTATCTATCTATCTATCTATCTATCTATCTATCTATCTATCTATCTATCACAGTCTCTTGATTCTCTCTCTCTCTCTCTCTCTCTCTCTCTCTCTATCTATCTATCTATCTATTTCAACTTGTTCACATCTATCTATCTATCTATGTACGAAGGTCAGCTGAAAAGCTCATAGACTGAATATCAAAGAGTGATGTTAAAATTGTGAAATCTTGCGTCCATTAATTTAAACTCATTTTGCTAATAACTGCATTGTTGCTTTCCAGATTAACTGACATCTCACTGTTCAAAAACGACTGTTCATCCTGTTGGTTAAAAAAGTCAACAACCTCAGATGTGACATCATCATCACTGCGATACTTGGTCCCTGCCAAGTGATCTTTCGTGTTGGAGAACAGATAATAGTCAAATCAGGAGAATAGGTAGTATGATCAACCAATTCAAAGCCACAGTCACGCTCAGCAGACATTGAAACCAAGGTAATGTGTACTGGAGCAGTTTCCTGTGAAACAAGACTTCTTTTGTTAGATTTTCTAGGCGTTTTTTTCTTCGTAGCCTTTCGTAACTGCCTCAGCAAGTTAGTATAATACTCTCCATTGATGGTGTGGCCCTTTTAAAGATAGTCAATAAATACAATCCTTTTGTATTAAAAAACTGAGGGCATAATCTTCCCTGCAGATGAGACAACCTTGTCCTTCTTTGGCACAGGTGAGCGGGGACTGTTTATACAGTAGGGATTGTCTATTTGTTTCTGGCTCAAAGTCATGAACCCAACATTCATCTTAGGTTTTGAAACATTCAATGAAATCAGCTGTCAGATTTTTACCGTGATGTGATCAGCCGTTACGCTTTGGTCTGGTGTCAGAAGACGTGGGACCCATCCGAAAAGAAACCTTCGACATGCCAAGTTCATTGTGCAGGATATTCACACTTCTCTCACGAGGTATGAATTGGCTATTTGATTTATAGTCAATCGCCTGTCACCCATCACCATGTGGTTAACACAATCAACGTTTTCATCGAAGGTGTCAGTCGAAGAACGTCCCGACCTTTTCTCCTCTTGAATTCAGCTGTCCACTTTTGCACTGTTGTTAAAGTTGGGGCGTCTTTCTCTAATGTAGGGATAATGTCAGCATGAATGCTCTTGAGGGCTAAATGCTTTTTCTCCAGGTAAGTCATAAATTTCGCTACGTGTTACATTTGAAGTCTTTGAACAGTCAGATGTCTGCTTATCTGAAAAGAAACAATTCATTTATTAACAAGAAAAGATGTAAGTAATGCATGCAAGATTTCACAGCTCTAGAATAAATGCTTCATAGTTAGCCTATGAACCTTTCAGCCCACCACCGTATCTATCATAGCCTTTCCATATCTATCTATCTATCTATCTATCTATCTATCTATCTATCTATCTATCTATCTATCTGTTTCAGTTTTTCATTATCTATCTGTTTCAGTTTTTTCATGATCTATCTATCTCTCTATCAAGTCTGTTCCTTCATATCTATCTATCTATCTATCTATCTATCTCAGTCTGTTCCTTCCTTCCTATCTATCTATCTATCTATCTATCTATCTATCTATCTATCTATCTATCTATCACATCATATGACGTAAACATAAAATATTTATTATTAGCGTGCTCTAAAGTTGTGGACTTGTGCCAGATTGGCCTAAACTTTAAAAATCGTATCCGATGATTAGCAATTTACACTCGCAGATTTCTCTAGGGTGGTTGATTCTCACTGGGTATCCCACGCTTACAATCTTATGCCAGATTTCGACTTAATAACCTCCCTACACACATGTATGTAATAAAAGTAAATAGTATCTATCTATCTATCTATCTATGTTTCAGTTTTTTCATTATCTATCTATCTACGTAAAATTAAAAAAATATTAATGCTTGTATTTAGTCTAGAGAAACGAATTTTTAAGCGTTTTTTTTTTTCATCTTTATTGTTTTCACCCTTTCATTTCGGTCGATATATTCAGTAATCGCTTAATATTTTCCTTTCCATCCACTAGAGAACTTCATAGTCGAACAGAATTAAAAGATTAGAGAACAGCTAAAGGCTGACGAGAAATTAGAAGCAAACAGAAACATTTATCGAACAAAACTTTACGTTAAAAGCAAGAGTAAACTAATAGTCCGAGAAGGATATCCATTAATGAATCTAAATTTCTGAGAAAAAAAAAAAAACTGGGAATTATCTAAAGTTTCTTAATTTCAAATTAACTGTGAGTAAAGTTCTGCCATTTTCATTCGGCCATATTGGAACCATTGTGTGTTTGTGTCACAAGCCGTCATCAAAACATGAAGACTGAGAATTTCAGTTAGCTCTTTGTAAATATTTTTCCTTCGCTACCACAAGGCATAGTCTGATGACTTTAACAAATGTAATTGCAACAAAATGAAATACGCGCCCAAAAATTAGATTTTAATATGATAATAATTCTTTGTGTATTGAGATGATACGCTTCGCTTTTGTATTGAATGGTAATTATGCGAACACAAATTTAAACATATTTGTTTAAAAAAGAGTGTGCGACTCCAATCCTTCAAGTGGAGAAAGACTGCCTGAATTTCTTGAAAATCGGCATTTGAATTGTTGAGATTTACCTAAGCGCGAACACCGACCTCTGGATCAATTTAGAAACATACCAAGCAGACCTTATGTTATACCGGAACATACCTATTCTGTTGTTAATAGACTCTCCCACAAATAATAAGTAGTAGTAGCAGTTGCCAGGGGGCTCAGTGAGTTGGTGAGTCAGTCGATGTCGGACATTGAAGTATCAACTACCACAACTAGATTACTGCGTCATTAACTATTATTTTCAAGTTCTTAACGTTTTGTACGTCGAACCTAATTTAGGACTGACTTAGTGAAATACAAGCCTCCACTGTGAAAATCACTCTACAACACCTTAGTATGTCCACACACACACACACACACACACACACACACACACACACACACACACATATATATCATGCGTATGGTTGGAACGTAGACAATTTTTTCTTTTTAGCACTAAGCAGGCTCATCACAAATGGTTTCACAGCTGCTCCAAATACGTTTATTATAGCGTTGATGCTTGACTTATTTTAAATCCAAGTTTTAAAGACTATCTTACAACATCCATTGAAAGTATACAAAACGTTTAACAAGAAAATAAAAGAAGCAACGAATAGTTACGCACACATACACGCACACACACATACACATACACACATTGTTATTCTTATTCTGGTAAAAGACAAGAGGAGTCGGCTACCCAGTTAGAATCTAACTCAGTTCACTACTAATGACTATATGTATAATCTTACTAAGCGGGGTTTGGAATGGAATCTCTGACCTCTGCATTTTCAGATTTAGTTTACGGAACAGCAATGTTGTGGTGAATACGAAATAAAAAGTAACTCTCTTTTCTCCACAAGTTCGCGAGTCTGTGCAAAAATTCATTTTGACCAATGAAAAAAGGGATTGGTTCCATGCTGAAGAATAGACAAAGACAAAGTTTAACGAGTTTGTGTGAAAATGTATTTTTACCAATGGAATTATGGATTGGCTCCGTGCGGAAGAAAAGATCAAGGCGAAATTTAACGAGTCTATGCGAAAATTTATTTTGATCCATGGAAAAGGGAGCAGCTTATAAACTGAGAAAGAGCAATCGCTTTTTGATATAAATTGACAGAAAACCTGAATCAAAGCAAATAGATAGATAGATAGATAGATAGATAGATAGATAGATAGAGAGAGAGAGAGAGAGAGAGCAGAAAGAAGAAGCAGGCAGAAAGCCAGAGTTCCACGCATCTGATTAACGCCGGTGTCAAATTACCCGCTAATACATTATCAGCCTCTAATGAGAGCAGGGCTTTATCAAAGAATTCTTTTCGACCCCAAACTTAAGTACCTTAAAATATATCTTTTCATTCATATTGAATACATCCGTATAACTTTTATGTAAAAAACAAACACTCTCAGTTTGTTTTAAATACTTTGGAATTTTAGTTTTTTTTGTCCGATGATTTAATTTACACATTTTCTCTTCTTGACGATTTGTCGAAACTACGAACTTTAAATATTTGTTTCGTTTTCCTGAAACAAGCCATCGACAACTTCAAATGTGTAAATTTGCAAATAAATTACTTCTCTTGTTTCATTAAACATAACAGATATATTTCCTCGTCATTATCCCTCAATACTTTAAAACCCGGTGTGAGACTATTTGCTTTAGTTATTCTACTACTAGTTGGACAATTGCTTTCCGTGCTAATTCGATTAGTAAAAGCAGTAATCTAAGAACAATTACCAATGTTCATTATTATAATGTTAGTGTCGATAAAATCGTGAGTACAAAGGTCTAATAGTTAATTAGGATTTAAATCATACTGCTTCTAATTTCCTCAGTTTCTTTATGTTTTCTATTTAGGAATAGTAGATGTAGCAGCAATATGGTTCAATTTTCAAAAATCTGAGATGATAAATAATTGATTATTTTTGCCGTGTTTTCGCCATTCTATTGTTGTCTTTTATCACAACATTCTGGATGGACACACTCTTCGGCCTTTAAGCAGAGTGAAGTCAGAAGTGCGATTTATTTTGATGCATCTCAAGGTATATCTAAAAAGATGTTTTTTTTTAGAAATAAATGTACACAAAAGAAACTTGCAAGAATTGTGAACAAAAATAAGTACAAACATTTTATAATCTTTTTAAGCGTTTAATCTTTTGATTTCATTACAATTTGTGTTGGGCGTCTTTTATTCTTCTGTCCTATATAGTTATTCGGTAAACGGCTGACTGTCAACATATACATCCGATTTTTTCGACCATTTATCAATGTTTTTCTCCGAATTCTCTGTTTATCCGGCGATAAATTCCACATATCTCATTTGAGTGATGTCTTGCGGTGAAAGGTCAGTGGTTGGTGTTTATTTATACGTTTTTTTTATAAGTATGGGTAGATAGCGTTTTGGAGAAGGAAAAAACTATAAACGTGGTTATTGGAAGTGAGAGACATTATGAAGTTGTGCATGAATGTAATCTTGTAAGTGTGAAATTGGCTGATTAGAGGAAAGCTTTGACTTTTGATTAGTTATCAACGGATTTGACGAAATTTTCTTGGTAATCACAATAACTTGATAAAAAAACATTGCCAGAAGCATTTAAATGTGTTTGTACAGTGTCACTTTTAACAGATTAAGTCTTTGAAAAACACAAGAAGACTTTTATATACGCGCCTTCCGAAAAAAAAGGCGAATGCGTGGTCTTAATAGATTTTCTTTTGTTGAATCAAGATTTGATTTCAAATACGAATCTGTAGTTTTTCACATGTTTTAATTGGACTCTATCTATCTATCTATCTATCTATCTATCTATCTATCTATCTATCTATCATAGTCTGTTTCTATCTATCCATGTCACGAAGCTGTAAGAAAATGGTGCAGTGTTTTCCTAACTCACAAACGCACACACACAGGCAAGCACACATGACTGGTGTCCTGTATTTTCTAACACACACAAATATATAAACATACGTTATGCAGAAACATGCAGCAGTAATTAATCCAAACAGGATTTTGTTAATTCAACCGACAAGGTGTGTATGTTTATTGGTTCACTGCATTTTTCGATTTTTCGAATAAGATATTAAAAGTCGGTTCTTGATAATGAGACATGGCGAAAGTACTTGAACAAAACAGAACAAATTATGAACTTCGGACAATTTTGACCCTGAATGTCTTATTCAAAAATCGGAAAAATTTAATAAAACATCAAATAGATCTTGTCGATTGAATTAAAAAAAAAACAATATATATATATATATATATATATATATATATATATATATATATATATATATATAACTAGACTCGTTTCGAAAAACCCTCGAATTTTTGATTTGCTAATCAAATCAATCTCGAGGAAAAAAGGTTTAAAAAAAAGAAAGAGCTACAAACATGAACTTCTGCCGACAAAAAAATCGCACAGATGCAGATCTGAAGCCCAAAGAAAAAACCCAGATACGAGTAACAACTAACTAACAAAAGAGCTCAATACAACCGTAGAGCAGACCTAGATACACCTAGTGAGCCAGACAAACCTTTAGGTTTCACCTAAACGAATCGTCAGGAAAGTTTGGCCAAACTTTCCCTGACGATCCGTTTAGGTGAAACCTAGGTACGTTTGTCTGGTATATATATATATATATATATATATATATATATATATATATATATATATATATATATATATCAAAGAAAGAACAGTAAGATATATAATCCGGTGTTCTTATAGATATTTTTATTTTTACACAATAGTGCTCAATGTAAATTTACAGAGCATTAATATTATAAATTAATTGATTTAAAATATGTTTTTTTTTACATTTTTGAAACATAATTAGAAATGTGTAGCGAAAAAAAAAACATATTTTAAATCAATTAATTTATAATATTGTTGTGAGACCGGAAACTACCTACACAATAGACTCTTCCAGGCGTATATTAAGTAGGCGACATAGCACTCTAGAGAGTGACAGAGAGTGACATAGAGAAATATAGAGACAGCCGCGTACGACTACCAGTATTGGACACTAACATATAGTAAGCTCCGCTTACACTATCTCTATAACCTGTTGTTAATATATCTTTCTTACATCTAATTCGTGTTCCGTTTTCCTTCTGTGGTCCCAACTTTGGCCCCACATATATATATATATATATATATATATATATATATATATATATATATATATAGTTTTAAGATATGCTATATTTATGGGATAAAAGTACTCAATATCAGAAATAGAGGCGTGCGTAAATATAAAGCGGACATAGAAGTCAACATAGAGGCGACAGTCTATTTCATGCTAG